CCGAGCAAATGACACTTTGTACTTAAAATATCTTTAAATTCTCAATTTAAGCTCTGAAAGGTTGAAATTTTTATATTACGCCCTTGATCAAACAAAAAGGTAATAATGTGCTCCATTTTAGGAAATGTGAATACCAATTTTTATGTCGGTTACTTAAAATTAAATATTATACAAAAAATTATATATAAAAATAAGATAATATCTATGTAATAAAATGCAATAAAATTCAAATTTTAAAAGATAAATAAAATGACTTTTATTTTTTACAGTTGAGATCTTTTTGAGTATTATTTTAAAGTTAATCCGATGGCTAATATTAACACACCAAATTTAATACGAAAATACAAAATAGGTCCCTAAGGGTGTGTTGATATAATTTTTTAAAAGTACTTCTAAACCTTATAATTTCTTATAAATACTTAAAAAAAAAAGAAGTAATGTTTAAAACTCTCCCACTACCATTATCACCACCACCCCCAGTGCCCCNTGATGGCTAATATTAACACATTAAATTTAATACGAAAATACAAAATAGGTCCCTAAGGGTGTGTTGATATAATTTTTTAAAAGTACTTCTAAACCTTATAATTTCTTATAAATACTTAAAAAAAAAAGAAGTAATGTTTAAAACTCTCCCACTACCATTATCACCACCACCCCCAGTGCCCCCCCCACCACCGTCGTCACCTACCACCATCTCTACCACAACAACCACCACTGTTGTTACCACCACCATCTCTGCTACAACAACCACCACTCCACCACCACACCCATCGTCCCACCAACATCACCATCACTATTACCACACCACTGCCCCACCACCACCATTTTTACTACCACACTACCCTCACCACCACCCCTATCATCCCATCACCACCACTCCTATCGCCCCATCACCACCATCGTTGTCCGTCACCACTCCACCCCCACCATCACAGCCCCACCTCCCCTACCCCCACCACTATTGCCACCTTCGCTGATTACTACCACTGTCATCTACCGCCTACCACCATCGTTATTTTATTCATATATTTATTACCACTAGCACCGTCGTCCACCGTTAGCACCCACCACCATCCGTCGTCACCCATCATCGCCATCATCTATTGTCACCCACCCCCACCAAACCTATCACCACCACCACCACCCATCACACTGTGGTCCAGAAACACTCATCGTCATTCACCACCACTATCGTCACCATACACCACCGTCGTCGACCCACCACCACCATTGTCAATCACCATCACCTATAACTGTCATTGCCACCATCGTCACTCAAAACCCACCACCACCATCACCATTGTGACCCACGACTGACACTATTACCACGGTTGTCGCCGTTCACTACAATCATCATTGTTTTCCACCACCACCACCACTCCGGTCACCCCACTATAACAGGTACTTAAATTTATTTTTTTATTTTTTTATGATTTAATTTTGGATGTGAATACAAATATATTTATTATTAACCATTTTTTTATTACTCTATGCCTTTAGGCACGAAAAATAACTAGTAATACATATAACAAAAAAAATTTCAAAAAAGATAACAAACATTTATTTTTAAACTATATTGTAGATTGCTCTGAAATTNTAAAAGTACTTCTAAACCTTATAATTTCTTATAAATACTTAAAAAAAAAAGAAGTAATGTTTAAAACTCTCCCACTACCATTATCACCACCACCCCCAGTGCCCCCCCCACCACCGTCGTCACCTACCACCATCTCTACCACAACAACCACCACTGTTGTTACCACCACCATCTCTGCTACAACAACCACCACTCCACCACCACACCCATCGTCCCACCAACATCACCATCACTATTACCACACCACTGCCCCACCACCACCATTTTTACTACCACACTACCCTCACCACCACCCCTATCATCCCATCACCACCACTCCTATCGCCCCATCACCACCATCGTTGTCCGTCACCACTCCACCCCCACCATCACAGCCCCACCTCCCCTACCCCCACCACTATTGCCACCTTCGCTGATTATTACCACTGTCATCTACCGCCTACCACCATCGTTATTTTATTCATATATTTATTACCACTAGCACCGTCGTCCACCGTTAGCACCCACCACCATCCGTCGTCACCCATCATCGCCATCATCTATTGTCACCCACCCCCACCAAACCTATCACCACCACCACCACCCATCACACTGTGGTCCAGAAACACTCATCGTCATTCACCACCACTATCGTCACCATACACCACCGTCGTCGACCCACCACCACCATTGTCAATCACCATCACCTATAACTGTCATTGCCACCATCGTCACTCAAAACCCACCACCACCATCACCATTGTGACCCACGACTGACACTATTACCACGGTTGTCGCCGTTCACTACAATCATCATTGTTTTCCACCACCACCACCACTCCGGTCACCCCACTATAACAGGTACTTAAATTTATTTTTTTTATTTTTTTATGATTTAATTTTGGATGTGAATACAAATATATTTATTATTAACCATTTTTTTATTACTCTATGCCTTTAGGCACGAAAAATAACTAGTAATACATATAACAAAAAAAAATTCAAAAAAGATAACAAACATTTATTTTTAAACTATATTGTAGATTGCTCTGAAATTTTTTTTGTTCAATGGTCTTGTCAAATGCAAGTTATTTATGTTAGGACTAGGATATTATGAGCGATAAATCTCTTATGACCTTGTCTCAAGGAATTGCCAAAATTCGAACTCATGTATAAATTTACACTACTTCTCTGTTATCACTTTAACTACCTCTTGGAGTTAGCTTCTTTGAAATTGTCAAAAACTATAGTGATAACCTTTAATATTTTTCAAAAATTAAAGTGGATGTCAGTGTATTTTAGTCCCAAAGAGATTAATATATTAAGACAAGCAAAAATGTAGCAATTCTATTTGCACTTTATTGGAAATATAATTCATTGTACCTATTAAATTAGTATGACTCTTAATATGAAATGGCCCTCCTTCAATTTAATAGTTGTAATTGATTAAATTTTCAATTAAAATTCCATTAAATGTAAATAATATTATTGAAATATGTAGTTTGAAGTTTCAAATCTAGGATGTCCATGGTAGTGCTATATGGTTCTGTCCATGCTTGTTACGGGGTGCTTTCTATTTTAGTCCTCTTACGTACTATTTAGTAATTTTTTATTCACATTTATTTATAAGTTAATTGCTTTTTACGTCCAAGTGATTTTTACTATAAATACAGTACTTACTTAACGTTTAAAATTATGCACATTATCCCTTGTAGTTATGTACTAAAATGAAATATTTACTTTTATCATTCAAGTTAATGGAGGTCGGAGAGTGTATTCCACACACCCAAAACATATTATGGACTTTTGTTTCTATTATTTCCCTCTTAAAGAATATTGTTTAAGTATATAAAATACTATTTATAATATATGGTATAATACCCAAATAGGTAGGGTATTAATCCTAGATTAAAAAATATATAAGAAAAACATATGTGATTTTCGACTCCGGATCAAAACCTCACTTAAGGAAAAAAGAGACTCAAAATGTTTAATTGAAAAGTATTGGTTTGTTTACGTGTTATGTTAGTTTTATGATCAAAAGTAAATTAGACGAAAAGTCTAATTTTAAAATGTAGGTATTATGGTAATTTTTTAATTCTGTTGACGACATCAATTATTTCATTTTGGTACATAACTAACTATAAGGGGACAATGTGCATAATTTTTAAATATAAAGTAGAGAAGGTGTTTCTAACCGGAACCACATGGAGGTAAAAAACAACTAACCCTTTATTTATTCATCTTTTGAAATCCTTTTTAGTAGTATTTATTTTATAATTTTGTCTTGCCGGCAATTACTCTTTTTTTTTTTTTGTAGTTTAACGGGGTGTCCAGACTAATTTACGCGTACCTCAACTAATTCTCTCCTCAATCTGATCAAAGGTAAGACATTCATATCAGAAGTAGAATATTTATAAAAAATAAATCTTTCATTATTTGACCTCAAGAGCTTGCCCTTGCCCTATTTCCACTTAAACTACTACCTTGGTTTCATTTATTCTGTACTTCTAAACTCAATTGTATGTAAATTATTCAAATTGTTTTATAGTTTCTCCTCTCAATTTTCTCTCACTTACTTAATGCCGTTGTAATTTTTACTACTTCTAAAGGAGTCATCAAGTTACAAAAATCTATATAATAAAATAGTTTATAATTTAAATTTTAATAGATAAATAAAATGTCTTTTATTTTTCGCGGTTCAGATCGCTTTAAATTTTATTTTAAAGTTAATCTAACGGTTAATATTAACACCCTAAATTTAATAAGAAAAATAGGCCTCTAAAAATATGTTTGGAGTGACTTTTTAAAAATACTTCTAGAAATTATTTCTCATAAATATTTTAAACAAAAATTATGTTTGAAACTGCACTATCACTACCTCTACCTCTACCACCACCACCGCCACCACCACTACCATCACCACCGCCACCACCACTGCAACCACCATCGTCGCTGCCGTCACCGTCGTTGCCACTGTCGTCACCATTGTCGTCGCCATCGCCACTGCCACCACCACCGCCACTGTAGTCACTACTGTCACTGCCACCACGACCACGACCACAACTACAACCACTGTCATCAGCACCACCACCACCACGCCGCCGCCAACACTACTGTCGCCGTCGCCACTACTATAGTCATTGTCACCCACTACAACCATCACCATTTCTTACCATTACCACTGTCGCCCACCACTTTTCACCTCCACTACAATCGATGCTTAAATTCATTTATCTCTTATCTATATTTGTGATTTGATTTTGAATATGAATACAAATATATTTTTTATTTATCATTTTTTATTGTTTTGTGTCTTCAGACACATGTAATAACTAGTTCATTTATATGGTCGTATCATATAATTTTTGAACTCTATTATTTTGTTTGATAATCTCTAGGATTAAGTATTAAAATATAATTAAAAATTCACACAAATATTTACATAATACTTAGATCGAACCCATGACCTGAACCCGGAGTCGGACTCAAACTCCGAACCTAGACCAAAGCAAAAAAGAACCTTATACTGAAGTTTAGTTATGGTGCTTTGTTCTTCCTGCAGGAGTGTTTCTAGGTCCAAGACCCAAAATTGATGAACCACGATAGTAAAAGTGACAACAGAAACTACTTCAAATGAATTAATGTTGAGAAGCATAACAACACAAACAGAACAAATTAGTTGTTCATAAGTTTTACAAATTCAATGAAATCTATCCTATCATCTTCATTTTCATCAAACTCCCTAATCATCATCCTACAATTCTCTATTTCTAGTCCTTCCTTCAATCCCAAAGCGCAGAGAACTCTCTGCAAATCCATGGCATCAATAAACCCATCTCTGTTCTCATCAAACACATAGAAAGCTCCCTTCACCTCCTCCAAACTCGGCTCCTTTTCATCAAACAGGTTAGTAACATCATCAGAACCCAACCTCTCCTGAAGCTTCTCATCTTCCGGATGGCAAAAAATCCCCAACTTTGTCATCACCATCTCTACCTCGTCTCTACAAAGACTCCCATCATCATAATCATCGTCATCGTCATCGTCTATATTCTCATTGGTTNCTTTTTTTATTTTTTTATGATTTAATTTTGGATGTGAATACAAATATATTTATTATTAACCATTTTTTTTATTACTCTGTGCCTTTAGGCACGAAAAATAACTAGTAATACATATAACAAAAAAAAATTCAAAAAAGATAACAAACATTTATTTTTAAACTATATTGTAGATTGCTCTGAAATTTTTTTTGTTCAATGGTCTTGTCAAATGCAAGTTATTTATGTTAGGACTAGGATATTATGAGCGANACTATTATTTTGTTTGATAATCTCTAGGATTAAGTATTAAAATATAATTAAAAATTCACTAAAATATTTACATAATACTTAGATCGAACCCATGACCTGAACCCGGAGTCGGACTCAAACTCCGAACCTAGACCAAAGCAAAAAAGAACCTTATACTGAAGTTTAGTTATGGTGCTTTGTTCTTCCTGCAGGAGTGTTTCTAGGTCCAAGACCCAAAATTGATGAACCACGATAGTAAAAGTGACAACAGAAACTACTTCAAATGAATTAATGTTGAGANTACAAGCAAAAATGTAGCAATTCTATTTGCACTTTATTGGAAATATAATTCATTGTACCTATTAAATTAGTATGACTCTTAATATTAAATGGCCCTCCTTCAATTTAATAGTTGTAATTGATTAAATTTTCAATTAAAATTCCATTAAATGTAAATAATATTATTGAAATATGTAGTTTGAAGTTTCAAATCTAGGATGTCCATGGTAGTGCTATATGGTTCTGTCCATGCTTGTTACGGGGTGCTTTCTATTTTAGTCCTCTTACGTACTATTTAGTAATTTTTTATTCACATTTATTTATAAGTTAATTGCTTTTTACGTCCAAGTGATTTTTACTATAAATACAGTACTTACTTAACGTTTAAAATTATGCACATTATCCCTTGTAGTTATGTACTAAAATGAAATATTTACTTTTATCATTCAAGTTAATGGAGGTCGGAGAGTGTATTCCACACACCCAAAACATATTATGGACTTTTGTTTCTATTATTTCCCTCTTAAAGAATATTGTTTAAGTATATAAAATACTATTTATAATATATGGTATAATACCCAAATAGGTAGGGTATTAATCCTAGATTAAAAAATATATAAGAAAAACATATGTGATTTTCGACTCCGGATCAAAACCTCACTTAAGGAAAAAAGAGACTCAAAATGTTTAATTGAAAAGTATTGGTTTGTTTACGTGTTATGTTAGTTTTATGATCAAAAGTAAATTAGACGAAAAGTCTAATTTTAAAATGTAGGTATTATGGTAATTTTTTAATTCTGTTGACGACATCAATTATTTCATTTTGGTACATAACTAACTATAAGGGGACAATGTGCATAATTTTTAAATATAAAGTAGAGAAGGTGTTTCTAACCGGAACCACATGGAGGTAAAAAACAACTAACCCTTTATTTATTCATCTTTTGAAATCCTTTTTAGTAGTATTTATTTTATAATTTTGTCTTGCCGGCAATTACTCTTTTTTTTTTTTTGTAGTTTAACGGGGTGTCCAGACTAATTTACGCGTACCTCAACTAATTCTCTCCTCAATCTGATCAAAGGTAAGACATTCATATCAGAAGTAGAATATTTATAAAAAATAAATCTTTCATTATTTGACCTCAAGAGCTTGCCCTTGCCCTATTTCCACTTAAACTACTACCTTGGTTTCATTTATTCTGTACTTCTAAACTCAATTGTATGTAAATTATTCAAATTGTTTTATAGTTTCTCCTCTCAATTTTCTCTCACTTACTTAATGCCGTTGTAATTTTTACTACTTCTAAAGGAGTCATCAAGTTACAAAAATCTATATAATAAAATAGTTTATAATTTAAATTTTAATAGATAAATAAAATGTCTTTTATTTTTCGCGGTTCAGATCGCTTTAAATTTTATTTTAAAGTTAATCTAACGGTTAATATTAACACCCTAAATTTAATAAGAAAAATAGGCCTCTAAAAATATGTTTGGAGTGACTTTTTAAAAATACTTCTAGAAATTATTTCTCATAAATATTTTAAACAAAAATTATGTTTGAAACTGCACTATCACTACCTCTACCTCTACCACCACCACCGCCACCACCACTACCATCACCACCGCCACCACCACTGCAACCACCATCGTCGCTGCCGTCACCGTCGTTGCCACTGTCGTCACCATTGTCGTCGCCATCGCCACTGCCACCACCACCGCCACTGTAGTCACTACTGTCACTGCCACCACGACCACGACCACAACTACAACCACTGTCATCAGCACCACCACCACCACGCCGCCGCCAACACTACTGTCGCCGTCGCCACTACTATAGTCATTGTCACCCACTACAACCATCACCATTTCTTACCATTACCACTGTCGCCCACCACTTTTCACCTCCACTACAATCGATGCTTAAATTCATTTATCTCTTATCTATATTTGTGATTTGATTTTGAATATAAATANTCAAATTAATGAATTGTGTGGCTTAATTTTTTTAATTTAATGATTAAGAGTGTTTGAGTCCGCTTACACACACATCGACTAATCTCTTCCTCAGTCCAGTTAAAAACAAATCATTTACGTCAGAACTAAGATATTCCTAAGGAATAAATATTTCATTATTAGACTTCAAAAATTTATCAAAAATTAAATTAAAGACGTATAAATTTATAATTTATTCTTATCGGCACGTTCTCTTTGTTATAGCCCCAAAAATATAAAGAGAAGAGACTCTTGAGGCTGCTTATGAATTGTTCATTGCACGTTAACTGATTAAAAAACGAAAAGAATTGTTCATTACTTTGAAAAGAAAACCGCGGATCAGATGGTTCTTATTCAAAGTCCTCTGAATTATAAAAGGGTTCTCCGGATTAGAAAAAGAAAAAGAGATAAGGGGGTCTTGTACGAATCTATTTTTTTTCTACACAACTTTTGTTTTTTACTTTTTTATTTTTTGACTTAAAATCGCGTGAAAAAAATGGAAATTAGAAGGTGTTTTCGGGTCATGTCCTTCTCCGTACGAACCTTAAAGCTTACGCGTTCCTTCTCCACAATCAATTATTTGATGAGGGGAAAGATAATCCAACATATAATTGATAAAGACATAGAGCAGAATCCTATTACACATACAGCCAAGACAATGGTTGTTAAATAAGGGGTAGTTTCCTTAAAAATATCAATTAATCAGCTTAGAAAAATTCTTTAAATATTAATGTACTAGGAGTAATTCGTGTCTGAAAATACGATACAATATAAGTGAAAAGTGATGAATTTAGGAGCAAGAAAAATTCAATATGAATGATTTTGAGAAGGATGTTAGTGACAGTTGAATGAGTTTATTTGAGACCGTCGAATAGATTTATTGAAATTTGCCATGATTTATATTATAGATGTTAAAATTCAAAAGCTTGAGATGGTTGCTTGAATTTGAGAAGTTCAAAGCTTAGAAACAGTGGATTGTGAATATGAACAATGTCCGAGAGATCGATGCATGGCTGAGCCTAGAGGTTCTATAAAATGCTAAGAAAACGTGAAACAAAAGTAAGAGCTAGAAAATGTAAGAGACATAAAAGACTATAACAGTTCACCCGTTGAAAAGCTTAGATAATCTACTCTAATAGAATCTCTTGTTCAGTAGGAGGTTTTCTATTGCTTAGGAAAAAAGATAGGGGTTTCAATTGCTCCGTGTGCGTGGGCGATTGGCCTTGTATTTATATTCACATGTGGGGTGGTCCTCACGTCATCTCACATGGTCTCCGATTTGCTAGAACTTTGTTAGGGGAATATTGGTTGTTAGATGCTACATTTCTTAAGTGTGACGTGGCTTTATAGAACATGATGAGATGACATTGAGACCCATCCCTAAGTCTGGATACATTGTTATCTTCCATGTATGTGAGATGTCATACTGCTTAAGTCGACATATTATTCCTTTGGATAGCTTGTGGATAAAGGAGTTTGTTCTGTTTTCTTGACCTGAGTTGGAAATACTATACTTCCTCATGATGTGATAACGACCTAGATACATTTATCTGAGATCGTACGTGAACAACCTTGACACTTTTACTTTCTGAATGTGCAACTAGAAGTAGGGGGAGAGATCTTGTTACTGAACCCTTGTTGAAAACAAAATATGGAAATATCCTTTCACTCATATTCGATATTATTTCTAATATCATGAAATATTATGGCTAATATCTATAATGCTAATAAAGAAAAGAGGTGGGATTTGGTGTTTAGTCATAAAAAATTTACTAAAGCATTCTTTTCATCCGCTTTAAACCAACGTAATATTTTTTTAAATCATGCTTAACTACACTTTAACTATCCCTAACTTTCCTCCTCTTATTCACATACTAATTTCTGACCCCAGGCCGTCCCCTTTTCTCCAATTCCCTTCTTAACTCTTTATTTTTTCTCATCTATTCTTTTATAAGTTTGCAAAAATATTATACGAATTATCTGATTATAAAACTTAATGTCTAAAAAAAAATGAATTATTGTTTATTAGAGGGAATTTAAGAGTAGTTATTAAAAGAATTTGGTAAAACGCGATTGGAGATGGAAAATTTAATAATTCAAAATTCTTAAAAATTAGAAAAGTTAGAGGAATGTTTCTCAAGTCCTCTCCCCAAAAAATTGATTGTTTCACATATATAGTACTAGTGTCCTTGTGATACACATACTATCCCTTTCTCATCCCATCCATTTTTTTATCTTTTACCCTCTCCCACCCAATCTTGTAATAAAAATATTATTTGAATTATTAGATTACAAAATTTGACATTTAAAAATTGCAATAAGTGGTGATTAGAGGGAGTTTATAGGTTGTTGTTTAGAGTAGTTATTAAAAGAATTTGGTAGAACATGATTAGAGAATGAAAAATTCAATAATTCAAAATTTTAAAA